CTGTGCTTCTCATTGCCTGCTCCTCACCATTAACTGACCACTCATCCTGACACTTGGCTATTACTCTGCATTAGATACTTGTTAGATACTTTACTGTTCCCTTGCTCACTCATTTTTTGTCCTTCTTGCATCTCCAGCTGCACTCCAACTCTGACAAGGGTGATGGTTCTGTGCACTACATCCTGTCTGGTGATGGGGCCGGGTCTATCTTCATCATTGACGAGACAACGGGTGACATCCATGCCACCAAGAGCCTGGACCGTGAGAGGAAGTCCCAGTATGTCCTGCATGCAAGGGCCATTGACTGGCGGACGAACCACTCACTGGAGGCAGAGTCAGAGTTCATCATCAAGGTCCAGGATGTCAATGACAATGCTCCAACATTCCCTGATGGACCGTTCTCAGCCACTGTACCTGAGATGTCTGATGTTGGTAAGACAGGAGCCTTACACAGTTTCAGATCCCAAACACTCGCTTAGTCAAAACACACACGTGTAATGGTTCAGTTAAGTATAATAGTCAACTATGTTAGTGAGTCATCATGCACAGTGCCAGCCCTTAAGCAAAAAGCAGTCATTATTAATGTCATTAGTAACACTTGCTTTTTATGCTACGATGTGTCAAAATGTCTGAAGATCATAAGGTCTTTTTATCTAAAAATGTTAATAATTCAAGTGAAGTATAATAATTAAAAGAATTAATTACACAGATTGAAAAATAGTCTGCTTTTGTTCATTGAACAGAACAAATACATATGTTTACACATTCAAAAAAGCTTTAACATGACAGTGTGCTGGTGCTGATACCTGCCTACTTTGCAAAGCTAGGTCAGGGTTTCTCTCATCAGATTTTCTTAATCAGACACTGTTTTTTTCTGTCCTTACTCGAACCCTCTACTATACAACTGAGAGCTTGCCACTAACAAAGTTAAAACTGTTACTATGTTGTTCAGCAATGACAGCTCCCATGAATCTTGGAACACTACCAAATTTCATAGCAGCATCAGGGGACCTTTAGTTGTTAAAAGCTAGAGAAGGATCTTTGCTAAAGTGATGGCGTGGTAAAATTTTACCAGGCAGCACAGGCGTAGATATTGACTTAGGCTACACTATTGACAAAAATTATATGGCTTTAGAAAGTTCTGCACCAGGCAGTGAAACAATGATGAAAATATTGCTTTCAAAATGGTTTGTTTCAAGGTCTAGCACCTGAGCTTGAGTTTTACTGCTTACATTTAAAAACAACACCACAGTGCTGCTGCTAGACGTGGCTGCTCATTTTACATGGTGTGCAGATGAAGTGCAAAAGAACAGAACAGTGCTGGCTTCGAAGGCACCGTACTTGTCAGCTAGATTTTTATTTTATTATTATTCAGCATGTTTCTCCTACCAGAAAGATTAATAGGAATCTCTCTCATTAATCCCCAACATCAATCAAGCAACACAACAAACAAACAGAGCAAAAGCTGGACTTAGTCACTTATTTCACATTTTGCTTCTCAGTTCCCTCAGTTTCTGTCCTTGGCTCTCTCTAAACCGTTCATTCTCTTTCACTGTGTCTCTCTGAGCCTCTTTCATCTCTCTCAGTGACTCCCACTCTGCTCTTCATCAACTACACCTCCCATCTCTCACTCATTTCTCAGCCCCTCTGTTTTCTCAGTGTGGCATCGTTCTCTCTCTCTCATTCATTAATTACTCTCCTGTGTCTCACTCGGTTCTTTGACTACTCCTCTTCTCACTAGTTACTTTCACTTTGATTTTTTTTCACCTCAGTAACTCTGCTACTCTAACCTGCATTATTCAAGATGTAAATGGATTTGTACTGTAGGTTTAAGTCAGCATCACACAGTGTAGAAATACATGAGCAGTGTAAACAGTCAGATCACTGCTGTAGCGGAGTCTTTATTAGACAGTAATGGCTATTTAATTAACAGAGGTTGCTATTTGTTCGTCTAGACCTTTAGAATTACTGTTTAAGCTCTGCATCAGTCAGACTGAAAGGATTAACTGCTGATACAAGTAGCAGAGAAGTAGGAGCAGTGACCTATATGATCTTATTAAGACAATTTGAATAAATGTAAATGTACTAATACATTATTCTGAGGGTTTACCAGAGCCACAGAACACATTATACAACTGAGAAGTGCTCTTCTTTTACAGTGAACAGTAAGTGATCCTTATGTAAAATCAGTGCAGTTCCTGTTAATGTCCTCTTGTGTGTGTGTGTGTGTGGTAGCAAGGTAACTAATAAATACAGCGTATGACAAAAATTGATAGACTTGATCTTAAAAACATGCAATTATTTTTCATTTCCAGAGTTTAACTAGTGGGTTAAAGATGTTTCCTACATCACAAAGTCCATTCTCAGTGTACAGTATGTGCAATTCCACTTGTCTAGCTGAAAACACAAACACCACAATAAGAACATTATTTACAGAAGGGTTTGAAACACTCCAGAAACCTTAACTTAACATGAGTGTAACATTTTCTGCTGCCTTTGCCATGAGAGCCGCTGCACCACAGGTCTACCATGATGAATGAGGTGGATAAAAGCTCCCGTCTGCTGCTACATGGTCAGGCTAATAGACTGTGGATCTTTACAAGAGCACTGCTGACAACACACATTGTGTTTTACTGCAGCTCATACTACACATTCTGGGGGAAATTTAGAGTGTCACATTTACATAGGAACAAGATATTTTCATACTGTGAAAGAAAACAGATTGTGGCTTGGTTTTCTTTGCAGATACTAAGCAGAGGCAGGTGTATCAGCAGTGACAGTGACATTATGTTTATGCCTGCTTGTGATCTAATGTATTAGGAGGACTGTTTTATAGATTACATATGAGATACTAGGACCAGATCTGAGTTATTCCTTGGAAACTGTACAGATTGAACTGTGGAAGTTTAGGATTTATTATCATAACCAAACATTACATTTTCTATTTTATAACATGAAGGATATGTTAGACCCACAATAAATTATTTTGCATACTCAGGTAATATATTTATTTTTCTTTCTTTTTTTTATTTTTGGGGGTGGGGGTTACCTGTTATATACAGTATCAAGATCTCACAAGACAATAGGTAAAGCAATTCAGTGGTAATTTAAGGCATAAACAAAGAAAATCTAATGTACCCCTTTGGGGA